CCTGGTATCCTGAAGCGAAGGCTGGCAGGGGGGAACAAACTCAAAGGACAGTGTGGAAGAACTTCACGGAGATTCCCTTAATAGATGCAAACTAGAATCCTTATCTGGTTCACGCCGACAGTGGAAACGGTTTGCCATGGCCGGTCCATGGTGCAAGGAGCTATCAACGCTGACGCTTTTTGAGCTAGGTGACATTCAGAAACTCAATTTCGAAGCAGCGTGCATTCAACAGACATGGGTTGAAAGTTTGATTTACATGCTTGAGTGACATGGGTCGAAAATTTCATTTACATTCTGGGTTCCTGGCGGGGACATGCCAGCCTCCAAGCCACCCACCCCAGCGAAGAGGCACACGCAAGGAAGCTTTTGGTCATCCTGCAAGTTCTGAAGCCCTGAGAGCTGCGACTGTGTATCACAAACTTGTTGTTCAATTACTGTTACAAATTTGTTGTGTCTCTATACCACTGACTTGATCACAGTCCGGCACAGAGCATGCTTTGAATCCGGCGGGCAAAGCAGCAGCTCCGGGCTGATCTGAGGTCCAATTTCGTGGAAGTCCTGGCACCCGAACTGATTTAAAAACTGTTTTCACATGAAACCAATCTCAGTATGGCCCACATGGACTTAGCACCCCACCTTGAAAGAATTCGCCAGCGTGAGGGGAGAGGTAGAGACCTCCCTCGATGCCCATCTTCCTAACTCCTGCCTGATATGCTTCGGAATGATAGATCTGGTTGGCGATGTCCTGGGAATCAGTAACAAAACCCAAGCAACCGATTAAAATAAAAGATATCCTCTCAATATAGAAACTTAATTGGACATACATGCGTGTTTTGGGGGGCTTTTCTCTCACTGTCATTTGACATGTAGCACGAGAGTGAGGGGAGTCAAAGGAAATATTGTTATGTGCAGCTGAGGGATGGACAGAAATTCCACGTGTTGACACTGCAGACTTTGCCACACTTGTGGTGGCAGAGAAAACACCTGCATTCAGATCTGCAATGACGATGAGTGCCATAATGCAGAAACCAAAGGCCTCAAGCTAGGGGCTTGACGGATGGAGCTCCAAGACTTGAATCTTTTGCATCCTGTGAACTTTTTCGCGCCATTCTTCTTGGTTCCTGGTCGGGCTCTGCAGACCTGGGAAAACGAGTTGGTTATTAAGCTGATGGGTGCGAGAACAAACTTTCAAAAAGGGTTGATACACCAAGGCCCGAACAACCTTGAGGTTCAGAGGTGGCGCTTGTGGCAAGCGCACAGCCACATTGCGCAGGTTGCCAAGCATGTCGATGATGCCGTGCGGCGGTAACTTGGAACAAGCCAAAGAGAAAGTCACTAGTCGCGAAGTTTGGGTGTCAAACAGGAAGCATGGAACATCAGCCACTGAAATCCGTGTGCGCAACAAAGTTTTGTGCGGGTAAGAATCAAATTGCGAAAATTGTCTATCAAAATGTGGGATGATATTGGAATTGACATTGAAGTGTTTAGGGTCTGAAAACATGTCTGGAACAGCCTAGCAAACAACACAGGAACATCACTGATGTACAGACTCCTAGAAACTTTCTGAGAAACCTGCTTTGGTCTTCTTCTTCAGGCTGGCTGTGTACTTCACCGACGTAGTCTTGACCGGCCCCTGTTTCTTTTTGACCTTCAAAGCAAAGAAACCCTTTTGACCAAGTTGGCTTCACCAGGAAACAGCTTTAAGTAACACAATGCCCAATACCCTGGGCAACAAGATGACAACCCAGACAACTAGCCTGCAAATCCTTTTTTAGATTCTTCTTCACAATCTTCTTTTTCTGCGCAGTAGTGGTTGGGTGGGTTGCAACAGGGTCCTTGATGGCCCGCTCTTCTGGGGCCACTTCATCATCAGACCTGGTCGGGAGAGTGTGGACTTAATGCAAACACAAGTCGTTCCGGAACTAAGAGTCTGACAAGTTGGTAACTGCTGGTAGCAAGCCGCCCATGGCCACAACAACTGTCACTGGCGTCACTGCGATCTGATCCAGTGAGGCAAAAAGCTGCAACTATAAAAAATCGACCAATGTAACAATATTGTCATCTTTGGCGCGCATGAGGTAATGTATCAAAATGATCACCAGCTAAGTGGTCCTGAAACCTCCCTGAGGCCAGCTCAGTGAAACGAAGATGCAGGGATCCCAGTCATAGCCTGCCAATGTGATCTAGGAAAAGAGAAACAAAAGCCTTTTGCTCAATCAAACCGTGTTGCGCTGGTGGGCAGTCAAACAAATTGAAATCCTGAGCGGTGCAACTTGGCAAAGTTGTTGTTTTAAAGACCGCTGCCACAGACCGTGTTGCCAACTTGAAATTGGTTGATCTATCTACTGTAACTGTTCCTGCCCCAGAGCTCGTTGCCAAGTTAAAATTTGTTGATCGATCTATCTACTGCAACTGTTTCAATCGTTCATTCTACTTGCAAGCATCTATGTATGATGTATGCCACTCACTGACCTGATTCCACGTGGAGGGTGGTGATGCTCTGCTGCATGTGGATGGCAATCACACCACACTCATCCCATTCCACCATAGATGCAATGTGCATCAAATGGTCAGAGGCCACGTCAATGACCCGGTATGTGTGGAACTTCTGCATCCCACTGGCTTGAAGAAACTGAGCCCTCAGTGCGCCCCTCATGTCTTCGCATGCCTGCAGGGTTTCAGGATACAGCCGCTGCCCCTGTGAGTTTGCCGGTGGCACATCTATTTGCCAAAAGTCGGTCTCAAAGTTGGCGCTAGGCCAGGCGTAGGCACTTGCCACAAACCTCAAATCCTTCAACTGCTGCACCACTTTATCAAGAGGATGGGGCTGTTCACTGAGATTGCACAACTCCTCCATGGCCATGTCACACCTCAAAGAAAGCTGGGCAGCCCAATGCTTCCGTTCATCTTCAACGATCTTGCTCAACATCAACGCAAAGTACCCAGACATGTCCGCCCAGGCTGAAAGCAAGAAACTGAGGACAGGCTGAACGGGCCAAAAGGCCTCGCACGTAAGAAAATCCAGAAGAACAACTGGCTGCAGAGGCGATTTAAAATCTTTTAGTCACCACAACACCGCAATCGCAACCTAATTTACTGTTGTCTGTGGTCAGAAGCTTGGCAAAAGCACGGGCTTCCAGCCTGCGTGCTGTGGACATGGAACTCAGCTACCTTTGGTCAAACCTTGTCAATGAATGTCAATGACAGGTCTGAGATGGACATGAAAATGTCAAGATCAAAGAATTTTGACACAATGACAAACTGTTTGCCAACGTGATTGCTGCTGTAACTCAACAACAAATAACGACACTGCAAGTTGAGACCCAGACTGGGAAGAACTGCGCACAGCACCATCCAGTAAGGACACATGAATGACGGTGTGCAGCGCACACCCGCAACTATTGCCGCCCAAACTCGTCAGAAAAAAGAGCTGAAACCACACTGGTTATTAACCATCTGCCTTACTTTTTTGGCATATACATATCACCTGAGACTCATTTTCTCATAGTGTTTCAGGAAGGTTTCCACCAGATCTGAGCAGCGTACTAACTCGTGGGCAGCAAGCGTGGAAGGCTTCGGAAAGGTTGGCCTGAGCCTTCTGAAAGCAACAATGTTCAGCTTCCACCTGGTGACAATTGCAAAACTATAAGCCGTTCAAACATTAGGCAGCCTTTCCTGAGCCTTTGACTCTACGAAATCCTTTGCCTTTACCTACACCCTTGCCGTGACCTTTTGCAACCCTGCTTGTCATCCTCTCAGCGATTCTCAAAGACTCCTCCCATGGAACTCCGTTGGCCCAGGTCTTTGCAGCTGCCGCAAAAAGCATCCTGCTGCGTGCCTTTTGGTTGTACTTCTGAATCACCTTGGCCTTCCCTTTGAGTCGCTCCAGCCTCAAAGAAAATTTAGAGGCAAAAGTCTAAAGGTTTCACATCTCGGTTTCCACGTTTCATGGGGTCGTTTCCACGTCTCATGGGGTCGTCCAAGACCAATGAAACTTTTGGAGCAAAAAAAACATGGTACCAAGAAACACCAAACTGTTCTCCCTTGCTTCAAAAGTCTGCGCCAGTGGGGCATCCGCCAACAGCATGCCTCTGGAAACACGTCGATCCAAAGCACACCTTATGCAGGGATGGCTACACTGAGGACGAAACTTTAATTTACATTGAGTCAAAGAAAAAACCCAATAGAAAGCCACGAACAACATAGCTGGGAAGGAAAGGTTAGTTGTTGGAAGCAAAGAAATTCAATTGAAATCCCAAGCTAAGCCACGCTGATACGTCCAACAACGGCGCTTTTGGTAATGTTCCATGGAGCCACATCTCTGAATGATTGGCAGCTTTGTCCAGCTTGTACAGCGGATCTCTGAGCAGTGGTATATATTTCAAGATATTGTCACGCTGAGCTTCCTTCATCACATTCTTCTCGCTGACAACTGCAGGGGCCAAGCTCAGTTTCAATAAGAATATATACACATTGACATGTCAATGCCAAAGTTCTGAACAGAATTTCCCATTCAAGTCAGGCTACAAGTTGCTAATTTCAAAACAACCGGGCCTATTGGCACACCGCTGGGCAACAAGCCTGCAGCCAGTTTCTGAGGGTAGTACAACAATGTCCTGCTGTATCCTGCAGAATGCATCCATCGCTTCGTCCTCAGCCCATCGCCACTCAAGCTAGCGGCTAGCACCACTATATAATGAGTTGTAGGCAGAAAGAGATTGAAGGTCATCACAATATAAAACATGATTCAAGGAGCCTCAGAATGACATCATCCGCACCTTCTTCCCCAGGTTTCAGCTTCCAGAAGGCGTCAGAAATTTCGCCAGGGCTCAAACCTAGAATCTAGAATGCTGAAGTACGCACATCAAGCCCTGACCGAATCAATGATATTACTACAACAAATCAAAACAAAATTCATATGAAACAAAAACTGCTCACTTCCAACCGGGTGAAATTACAATCAACTAAAAACTGGATGAACCTGTCCAACATCGGAAAGCTTAGCAGCCGCAATGACAACGTCTCTGGAACAAGAACTCGTGCGGTGCCCCTGGTCCTCCGATACCTCGAAGATGCACCGGAACTGCTTGTGCCAAAAAACCTTTCCTTGGCAAGGTCAACATGAATGCAGCCATAAAAGTCAAACGCGCCTCTGTAGTATGAACACATGTGAACATGTATGAACATAGAACCATAGAAAATATATTCATACGATACTCCAAAGTAAAACAAAAAACTCTCAATACCCCAACAAGAGACCAATCCCGGGTCTGATCAACTTTCACGCAGTAGCGATTGGACACAGGTTCGTGTGGGAAGGAGGCTTCATTGAGGAATTGTTGGATCACTCGTTGGAAATCATCAGGTGTTTGACATGAATGCCCGTGCCTTACTAGAAAACTGGCAAGGCGTCCAAATGTTTGGTCAATGTCCTCGTGGGAGTGCCCTGAGCGGAGGCTGGATAACACCGCCTCCTTGATAGTACCTTAGATGTCCAGGTGTGTGTATGTCGTGCGTGTGTGTGTGCGCGTGTATTTGTGCGTGTGTGTGAGCGCGCCACCAATCAAATAAAAGAGGACCCTTTGAAAAGCTCTGACGTTAACACTTTTGGAAAAAAAAATAGCCACTGGCATGACGTATAGTTCAGAACTAAACGAATGTTTACCAAAGGTTCCTTTCGACACAAGGCTTGCAAGGAAGGCAGTGACCACGTTATTTTTTATTTCGCGTGGCGTGTTGTCGCATTGAACACGCACACTCATTTCAGATAGGCATTCGCCCTGTTCTTGCAGCTTTGTCAACGCGAAAGCCAAAAGCTCCGTGTGGGTCGATGCGTCTTTAGGGATGTCTGCCTCTGACACAGCAAAAATAATTGCGCGTCCATGAACCAATATTCCAACAATGTGTGCTTTTGGGCGGGCAAACTGATGGAACTCCTTCGATTTGAGGCAACGATGCCGGGGATATGCAAATTTTGCTTGATCCATACCGTCACAAATTAATGTGACGGTAGATCCACCAGCACGCGACAACCCTCTCACCGCCCAATATTGCAGGCGATCTTGGTACTGTGAGTCCAGGTGGGCATGGTACTCATCCATCTGCTTCTGTCTCGCTAGAAGGTGGTGACCAAGAGATCGGATCAGGAATTTGTGTCTGACACAGGTGGCGCATTCTGGGTGTTGCCTTTCTGCGCGGAACTTCATAAAGTAAAAGTCCTGCAACCACACCTGGGATAATGGGGTAAAGCTGGGCTAAAGATTACGAACTGCCACCTGTCAGATAAAGGGTTAGCGATGAAATTCTTAGAGAAACATGCAGCGGAGCCTGGGCGCGAAACGCAAATTTGCTGAATCTAAGCCTAGTCTCTCTCCAAAAAGTGGTAAAGGAAGCACAATTTGACCCAGCGTGTCTGTGTTTATATTGTTCCCAATAATCTTTGATCTGTCCAGGTGGAAGCCACCTTTCCTCGTACAAACCTCCTGTGTCTGGCCTTCTAGCCAAATTCATTTTTATTGACCGTTTCATCTTCCGGGTTTTTTTCTTCTTGGATTTTGAAACTTGGTTTGAACAATCACCAGAACCAGGATCCATCGTCAAACCTTTGACCAATTGATCCGCGTACGGGTCCGTTTCATCTTTGTCCTCGTCGATGGCAAACATTGTGGTGTCAACATCCCATGTTTCGTCTCTGAAATCTGGGAGTGTTTCAGCTATGCTGTGGTAAATTTGCATCAGAAAGGATGACACAGACCCACGCGTTTCAGAGTTTGTTGCTGATTTGGGTTTAGTCAAATACCGAAGGTCAGCTGGGGGAGCGTGTGCATCATTGATGACGGCAGCCTTGAGCTTGTTGAAACGTCGAGAACCTTTAGAACTGCATTGTAACTGGTAAACAGTAAACTTCATGACCCCATTCGACTCAATGACAAAAAAAGGACTAGGCATTAAATGAAAATCATAAATTGCGAGTTACCCAGACCATGCAAAATTTTCCACGACTTCAAGCACACATCGTGGTCCAAGAATGTCCAGCGCCCAGAATCTTTCTGTACTTCATCACGGATTCGCTCGAAAACCTGGGCACGGCAAGATTTTGAGTTTGAAACAACAAACAAACGGTTCAGTCACCAAATAATCAAACTTGAGGGCACAAGAAACAAACCACGCAGCCGTACTTCGGCAGACCAAAAAACAAATCAACACCAAGCAACAATTCTGTCTTGATCAAGTTTGTGAAACCCATGCCACTCAGTTCTAAACTCTTGAAACCGTTTGAATTCCTCTTTGGGGGTGAACTGAAGGTAGCAGTTTGTTCTTTTGCATGCACACTTGGGTCTTGCCAAAATGGCCCGCAATCGAACCTCACTGTCTTGAGGCAAGGGTGCGGTCTGGAAGTCCTTAGCCTTGGCCCTCTTGGCACGCCGAGCTGGCTGGGCAGGTGGATCAGGCGGGTCACTTGCGTCACTCAAATCATCGATGGGTGGCAAAACCCAATGATCATCCATGGGAGAACAGCTGAAAGTTTGCTATACAAAATTTTGCTTACAGTTTTCGATCAATTAGAAATTAAATTCTACATGCTGAAAATGGGAAAAATATATGATGATTCAGACCTGAGTAGCACCACTTCAAAACTGAAGTCACAATGCCTGCTACTTGGTATATACTTGGGTTTGCTGACTGACCCTAGCACAGCAAACATACTGACAAAACTTGCAGTCTTCCTTGGGGCAGGTGCAACGCGCGGCCGAAAGATTGGTTCACCATGTCCGACACACAAACAATGAATGACGTTCGAAAATGGCGAATCCACCAAAAAAAAATTGGTTTCAGGTAGTCAAGAATTCTCCAATCAACTTGCAACTAGTTGTCAGCCACCCAAAACCAAAACAGTACAAACAGAACAGCTAACTACATCGTCATCCAAAAAGTGGAGCTGCGACATGAACGGATCAAGCTCTCAAAGTTCGGAATTTATAGCCCAAGTGAGAACTGCCCCCAGGAAACAGCATCCCCTTGGAATCCTAGCCGTAAGTTGTAAATAAGCGGCAATAACATGCAGCAAAAATTTCATGGGGGCTATTTTACACCTAGTACACAAAAAAATGTTATGGCTATATTACTTTTTTCTCTGATGCATGGGAGCCACCAGGTGTACATTTTTCAGTTTTGCATCAGCTGCAAACTTGATGCGCTTGGCAAGCTGCGGCAAGCTTAATATTATATATGAAAGCCACAGAGCGGCAAGGCTGAAACCTGCTAGCTGGGTTTAACAGCATGGTAGCAGACCAGCTAAATTTGGCAACGGTCAGTTGCAAGCTTGATGCAGCTCAGTAAGTTACTATGAAAAGCGACACAACAGCAATGCTGTGAAAATATGCATGCTGCTGGGGGTTGCAGAATGAGTAGTGGAGCAGCTAAATATTGGGAACCCCATTCAATTTGGGAACCCCATTCAAAAGAAATATCTTTATTTATTATACCATGAGTTAACAATGTATATATAGTACATCTATATCTATATAAAAATGTTTGTATACAAAACTATATGTATATATAACTATGAATATACAACTATCTTTAAATAACTATTATTTGAAACTTTTGTATACATATATATATATATAACTAAATCGTATGTAAATATAATGACAGGTGTAAAACCTGCAGCGGACTTTTGGGCTCTGTCAGCTAGCTACCTCCTTGAAAAAGGGCTGCGGTAGTGAAACAAACAACATCCTAACCATGTTAATTAGTGAAACATACTACATAGGAACCCTTACAAGTCAACACGCCTCCCGAGGGCTGCTGAACTATCTCAGGTCTGGTGCCCGAGTTACGAGGGTCCTATGTTCAGTCCTAGCCCGGCTCAAGCCCTTCAGACGTCGAGTGCGAGGTGATGCCTTCCTTCGGCATAGTAGTAGTTCATGCACTCAAGCAGGCAACGGACTCTAGCTTGTTCCAGTGGTTTCGTCAGCAAGTCTGCCAGCATTTCAGCCGTAGGTTTCTTTCCCAAGGAAATACGACCTTTGGCTACAGCATCTTGCGTCCAAAGGAACACAGTGTCGATATGCTTCACACGACCAAGGCCATGTCTTGAAGCAATGGACAAACCGGTGTTGGCATCCATCCAGCCATGGATTGGCAGCCAAATGCCCCAATCCTTCAGGACTGATTGCTCTCCAAGAGCATTGCAAGCAGCGGAAACTAAGCCATAGTATTCAGCCTCACCACTGCTAAGTGCAATTACTGCCTGGCTCTTGCAACTGGTTTTCGTAGTGGGATTTCCAAGTCGAATGCAATAGCCAGTGGTGCTTTTCCGTGTTCTCAAACATCCAGCATGGTCCGCATCGGTCCAGACCACCAATTGAGATATCGAATGCTGATACGGGAAGAGATGAATCAGACGAGGTCTGCTTCTCAGGTACCGTGCTCCTCTCTTGAGCATTGTCCAATGTGCAGTAGTGGGATTCTTCAGTCCCTTTGCCAACTCCTTGGCAAGTACCTGCAAGTCTGGCCTGTCCTGTGCTAGGTAGGCTAAGCGCATGCTGACCGATCGATACCTTGGAATTTCCTCAGGATCGAGTGGCTCAGCGCTATCCACCTCTTCTACCCTTTCTTTGACAAGGGCCGAAGAAACTTTGGCCCCTGCGCATCCCATCTCATTCATGATGATCTCGGCATGACGTGGGTCGGCTTCCAGCTCAATGCCTTTTGCACTCCACGTTACCAACCGATTCAGAATGTCTATCGTCTGTTGCGTTCCAGCCATTCCAGGTGGACCCAGGTATCCACGGACTTCAATCGTCCAGTGTTTTCCCAGCTCAGTAGCGAACCATTCGAGATGATCCTTTGAGCCCAGACCGGTGAAATCGTCACCGTGGACTTCCACTTGGATCTGTCTTCCAGGATGAAAGTACAGACAGCTGTTTGAACGACCCTGAACGAATCCTAGGAGCGTCATGACTCGAAGGATGGTCGCCTCCCAATTCGCGGGAGCATCTCGTGTTCCGTAGAGAGACTTCTTTAGAAGACCGACATACTTTTCGGTATCTACGCCAGTCTCCATAGGCAGCTCCACCAAGATACGCCTTCGTGCATCAGCCCAGAAATGAGCTTTCTTGATATCTAAGAAGACCAGGCATCGGTTGCGGGGCAGTTCCCGCATTCTACCGTCCAATCCAGGCGCACGATTGGTGGTTGCAAGTGCGAATAAAGTTCGCAGTGCGCTGATCGGCGGCATCGATGCATAGAAATCTTCCCAACTGGGAGTGTGGGCTTCGTCAGAAACCTTTCCCGCATACTTCTTCTTGAGCTCGCGGGCCACCAGGCGACTCCTGTACTTCGGGTTGCGATCGTCCTTCTTGTTGACATCTACCCACCGAGTTGATATCACCTTCTCTCCTTTGGGTCTCGGGATAATTTCCAAGACTCCCATCGAAGTCACGACATCGATCTCCTCTCTGCGTGATGCTTCGACCAAGTCTGATCGAAGTGGCTTCCCTGTGATGTCGTCCCAATAAGAGGTTTCATATTCTTCATACACCTCAGTCTCGAGCTTCTCGTGGCACACAGGGTGTGTTTCTCCAGCAACAGATGCTAGAAATCCTGTTCTCAAGGATAACAGGAAATTTGTCACCATTTCTTCGTCCCCTGTTTCTCGGGACCTTTTCCGTGATTCGCCCATGTCAGTGTCACCAGAGTCTGCACCGACGTTGGGACTTGGGCCAGGCGCTGAAGCAGCGCTCTGACCTCCGGCAAGACCCGGGACAGGTGTTGAAGCAACACTCTGACCTCCAGTCTCTAACCGTGGCTTCTTCAAGCTTTCTCCTCGTACCTTCTTTTCAGGACGCGCCTCCTGCGTCGTAGCCTCAGCTGTCTCACGCTTTGGTGCAGCAGACGCCGATGAAGACGACGACGGTGCGCCCGAGGGAGGGTCCGGTATCGAAACGACACTCGTACCCTTCTTCTCTTCAGTTCTCACCTTCAATTCTTCGGCCTTCCGAAACCTTTTCGGAAGTTCACTGCGCTTGGCGGCTTCCAAACGCTTTCGTCCTTCCTCTGACTCTCCAAGTTTACCAACCACTCGTGATCGGCAAGATTCTGAGTGGAGGATCCCTTCTCGGGAATAACCCGTGCGAATGGCGTCGCACGCAGGACATCCAGCTGTGTACCCGTGGCTATCAAGGTCCGTTTGACGGATATAGACCCGCCTCAGGACTTCTTTCTTGTCTGCTGCGATGGCATCGGCAGCAGGTTCTTCCGGAACTTCGGGCAAGACTTCGATTGCCTCAGTAAGCTCCTCTGCTTCCTCAGGCCGAACGGCTCGGCCGGGGATTGGCGCCCATGGCGTCCCTTTGACCTTTGCAAAAAGATCTGCGTCCCATCGAAGCTCCTTCGGCTTCCTCCGGACGGACTGAGCAACCACAATGCCATTCTCTGTGGCAATGATCTTTTCCGTAGTGTTGAGTCTTACACCACAAAAGATTCCCGTTGCCCATCTTGGTTCTAACTTGTGTTTGGTGCGCACTCTGTAATCCACCGCTTCTCCCCACGGCGGCAACGACACCTGCCAATCTCGGCCCTTCAACCTCCGGAAGGGGGTGAGACCATCTTTCAATGTGTCGTCATGGGCATACAGGTTGTACATGTTGCCCGCATGCTCGATCATCCAAGCCAGCAATGGCGACTTGGGGTCGATTGCTTTGCCCATGCCCGTCTCACAGGCATCCTTGTACGTCCGGCACAACCCTTGGGTAATTTCAACAGCGGCCTCGGCCTCGCCATTGGATTTCCCATGGTGATCTGTCTTGGGAGAATGCTCGAGTTGCACCCGTATATTTGAAGCAGCGAACGCGTTCTTCACCGCTTCAGCCACAGCCTTGATGGCTGGCTCTTGGTCGCTCTTCACAACCACCTCTGGGTATGCCAAGAATCGTATGTCTCGACATAGTGCTTGCTCGGGGTACAAATGTTCCACACCTTTGGATGGAACCAAGTGTGTGAACAATGCTTTGCTTCGTCGATCTCTTGCCACCAGTACCGGCATCTTATGGCCTCCGACTGCGTCAGCAGGGAGCTCTCCTGGGGCTCCAAAGAACCCATAGTCGATGCTAATGACAGGGATCTCTTCAGTGTCATCGGACCGAACCACCCGACGATGCGCATAGCTTTTGCCTCTGCCTCGCACACAGTGCGAACACCAGGCTCGGAAGGGGATGTGACTCACCGAATGAGCCTCCACCTCTTCAAGGCTGGGCAGACTGGGAGATCTGATCGGTTTCGCTGCCCTCCCTTCTTCTGCCTCAACCAGCTGCGGTGCCTCCAGCACGCCCTCAGCGATCTGTTCGGCATCCAACTCCTCTTGTTGGCCTTCAGCGGGGGCCATTTGTCCAGTGGGTTGCTGGGGGCACGAACCGAAACGGCTCTGTACCCCAGCTACAGCGGGGCCGGAGCTGAAACAGCTCTCCGCCCTCTCTGCTTTAGGTCTTACAGGCTGCCGTGG